TCGATGGGAAAATTTTCATTTCAGTGAAAGTCTGCAAACGCAGCTAAGGGAAATCTTGAGAAGTTTGATGAATATTTTTTCAAAATTTTCTTCCTGAGGGGGTTTTTTGGCTTTAAAATTTGCAAATCAGGTGAATTCAAGAATGAGGGCGGTCTTGTGTGTGGAAAATGACGTCTTGAGCTTCATCACCTGGAATATGCATCAAATTTTCGCGAAGTCTCCAGGAAATAGTGATAGACAGACGCATTAATTGCTTTCTTGGCAGCTGCATGTAGTCACTTATCAGTGATTGGTATTAATCGAATAGAGAAAAATCATATCGGAAGATCTTTGAAGAGACAGTGCTTGTGTATACTTGGGTGCAAAGTGAAAAGAGGGGTACCGATCATTTGTATTTCATAAAAATCAAGTTTTTCATAAACGCCGAGGTTTCTCCGATTTGAAGCTTCCGTACCACAGTTTCCATTCCAAGTGATCAAAGTGCCTCGCATCCAGATAAAATCGAAGCCAGGCTCATTATATTTTACTGTCACCCATGTTCATACTTTGAGTTAAGCATCATGCTGACCATTATCGTTTCATATTCAAAATTCGTGAATATTTCAGTCAAAGCGAAGTTTGTCTTCTAAAATTCTTCTTCAGCGTTCCTCTTAGTTCCTATTTCAGTTTTTGGTCGAGTGTTTCAGCATTAGCAAATTATTTCGAGGTTTCCTACGGCAGAAAGAAAAACTATGTTCAAGTGCTTAGGCTTTTCTGAGAATCGCTGAACACTGTTGAAAGACCTCACACAATTACAACAATACTAAATAAGCCTTTTAAGCTGACGAGCATGGCACAGTGGCAAGTAGCTCCTCTTTTGTAGAAAGCCGAAAGTTCGGCTCCGCCGGTGGGACAACCAATCTCTTAACAATTCATTCATTCATTTCTAGCATAAACTAGTCCCAGATTACTAGGAAGTCAAGAGTGTTATCACTTTGTTTCTAGGAGAGAGCTCCTTACTAAAGAATAGTTGCTATTGGCATTTGCTACCACTCGTGCTAACTTCCCAGTGCCCCAGCCCATAAGGGATTTTGATTTCTGACTGTAATATTTCTCAAGTCCATACTGAATATGTCAATCCGCTCTAGCGCTGCTTATGCCAGTGTAAGGTTTAACATAAAAATGCTAGGCAAGAACTCATCAGGGAAAAATAATGCTACTTAATCACCAGGTCACAAATATCACCTCTTTTTTCTCGAAAAAGCTAATTTTCGGTCTTTTTTTTCTCAGAACTGATAGTCTTTTTTTAGAAATGCCTCTTAATTATTAAAAGAAATACCTTTTCTTTGCAGAATGTAAAAAATTATTAGCGTGGTTGTTGCTAGAATTATGTGAAAATGCATTTTTTCGAAAATCCTTAAAATGCGATTTGCTCGAAAAAAGCAGTGGTCGTTTGTTCGCATGGTTTGAACTTAATAATAAAAGGAAAATCCAAAACTCAAGCTAGCCATTAACGTTACCCGAAACCAGCATATGCTAACAAAACGCGTATTGCTGAAGTAGGGACGCACCAGTTCGCTTATAGTTTCAGTGGCCGAAACACTTTGCCCTTAGTTCCCGTTCAAAACACTTGTTTGCTTTCAATTTCGGTGTGTATGTCTGTGCATGTGGGTCTGCGCGGGTGTTTCAACTCGGCAACTACGGGGCTGAAGCTTTGGGAACTTAATCTACGTGCAAGTACGGACCCCTATCCCCAAAATGGTCGCTCTTACCTTATTCAATCTATGACAAATATGCGTCGTACAAATGACCGTAACAAAACTATCCATAAGATTTTTGCAGGTGCTAAAAACATGTACGGTGAGGCGATTCTTCTGATGGCACTAGCCGCAGCTACCGCTTATGCCAGCGTCATCCCGTTCTCCATGAGTAACCTTCCAGAGGAATACAAAGGTCACATGAGTTGTCCATTATTTTTTTTTAAAAGTTTCCTCTACCACTTCCTCTCTTTCACAGTTCAACAATTTCAGAATTTGTGCCGGAAGAAGTGAAAGATTTCTACAAGGATCTGTCACCGGAGGACAAGCAGGTGCTTCGAGACCTGGCCGGCAGGCAAGCATCGTTTGCGAACGAGGATGCCGCTCTGGAAGCGCTCAAGGAGAAATCGCCGAAACTGCACACCAAGGCCATGGCGCTGCGAAACTTCCTCAAGGGCAAAATTGATAGTCTGAAGCCGGAAGCAAAGACTTTCGTCGAAGAGGTTGGCGTAGTTGTTTCGATGATCGTCAGTACCGCTTAGAATCAAATCACAGAGCTATCTAAGAAATTTTCATTAATTCATTTACTTATTATTATCAGGAATTTTTTACTGCTTTTATTTTTAATATATTTTCATTCCTCGATAAATTTTTATTTTTTAATACATTTTCGATACAAAAAATTGAAAAATCGAATATAATCAAGTCAAATAGATTTTTGTTTTTTAATATATTTTTATATATAACATCACCAGTATATGTACTTTTCCGATTACAGAAACGGAATTTATAAATTTCTCGTCACTAAAATCAAGGAGATTAGAGTAAGAGTGAAATATAAACATACTTCATTACCGCAAACTCGCTATTTTTACGGACATTTTCTCAGTAATTCCGCCTACAGCACCCACTGACAATAGACTGAATGAAGAGTATTATGAAAATTACTAAACAAAACTTGAACTTGTTACTTTTTGTAAAATGTCTCTCTAAATTACGGTAATGATAGAGCGGTGCTTTTGAAATTAGTATTTCTGGATTATTTGCTAAGCAATGAATCAAATGAAAGAACAAAGGTTGATCGAATATATAAGCTGTGTGGGAGGGATAAAAATAAATCTGAACAGGAATATTTCGGTCCATTAAGTCGCATACATCTTCATGCAAAACGCACAATGCTCTGAGGAGGACTTGCGCACACATCTGCGCGTACGCTGACAAAATCCGCACATTCTGTATGATATATTTGTATTAATGTTCGTGTAACTGTAAAAGCGCGCTTTACGTCACACGTGAAGAAAACAGTCACAACTACTTATATGACAACACGGAGAGGGGCAAGGGAAGCTCGAATCAAATGCTCATATTGCTAGGAATAGCTGAACTGTGAATTACTTAAGATAATAGCGAAAGCGCGATCACTGCGGCCGGCGGAAGGACAAAAACCCGACTTGGAGAAGATCAAGCAGACAATTCGTGATGTGATTGACAAGTACCAAGCACTGGGCCAAGAAACCAAGGATGAACTCAAGACAGTGTTCCCGCACACAGCCAAAATTGTAGCCAGTAAGTTTCACATCCTTGCATTAGAAATGCGGGAAAAAAGCGGCTATTCTAAAAAAATGCATGGCTCAGACAAAGCAAAATCAGTTGTGGCTCGAAAGGTGTACTTTTTATGAATAAGTGCAAAAAGCGAATCTAGATTTCCCTACTTTTTTCCAGCCCCTCGATCATATTATGTTGCAAACCTACTGTATTTACTATTACAATCATCCTAATGAAGTCTTAGTTTCCGTTGATGCTAAAC